GTGGGCGAGGATTGCCGGGAGCGCTCCTGCCCCAACGACTGCAACAACGCAGGGCGCTGCGTGGACGGGCGCTGTGTCTGCGAGGATGGGTACATCGGGGATGACTGCTCTGATGGTAGGTGCAGTGTCCCTCTGAACTGCTCCCCTTGGGCCAGCCAACAGCCTTGGATGCTTCGTGAAAGTTTTCCATAGAGTTGGGCCTTGTTGCTTTTCCAGCATAGACCAAACAGCAGGATCGGGGATGCAGCAGCACTAGTAGCTCTTGGCATCCTGAAATATCAGGGATAAGTAGTGTAGCGGTTTCTGGTGGCTTTTGGTGGTCACCAATACAACAGGCTGCTGATGGGGTTGCAATGCCTTTGTCACTTCCATTTCTGCTCCCACCACAATGTCATTGGTTCTGTAGACAGCACTAGCTGGGATTTGTCACCATGAGCCTCCAGGTTCTCACAGTACCTCTTGATGCCAGGAAAAAAAGCTGAAAGAAGCTGCTCTAGCTAAGGAGAAAAGGGAAATGGTCCAGAGTCTTCTCCATATGTGTGTATGTATTCATACATATATATATATAAATGCACAATACATATGTATATGGATGTGTGTATCTTAGATCTCACAGAAGCTTACAGGAAAATTGTGAGATAGCTGGAGTGGAAACTTAGCTATAAAGTCACATGCTTGGTTTCCCAGGACCAGTGACTCTATGGAAATTGATATAAAATTTTGGCAGCCTGATAATGACAGGCAATACACCATAAATGAGGTAGTTTTCTTTAGTAGATCCTGGGGGAGAAATTGTGAGACTAAATTTTGGTAATGAAAGAGTACTTTGGGGTTGGGAGCACTATAAAAGACAATGAATACCCTTTAAAAGAAATTCCCATCGTTCATCTCCTCCTCCTGGAAGGTGCCTAAGCTCCACTTTGTGATCTTGCACAGGCAGATCTATTGCAAGTATTTACTCAAATAATAATGTTTTATTTGACTTTGGAAAATCTGTGCAAATCCCAGGACTTCTAGCTCTAAAATCACGTGCTGCTGGCAGTTGAATTAAACATCTGAACCCCTCGGGACCCAGCTGTAGCACTCTTGTGCTGCAGCCATGAGAGGAGCAGCTGGAACACAGTCAGCCAGAGGTTGTGAGCAAGTGTGAGAGCAGAAATTGGCTTCTGGAAATGTCTGTAGTCTCCATCAGCTGAGCATTCCTTTCCTCAGCAGCTAATTTGTGGGACATGCCTTCCCCATTCCCTGCGTGTGAGATGAGCCTTAGGAACCGCTCCTGGGAAAATGTAAAACTGGGCAAGTCATTATTTCCTGAGCCTTGAGAACTTCTTATAACTTTGGCTGGGCTTTTTTTTTTTTTCCCCCCCATTCCCAGTGTCTCCTCCAACTGAGCTGACTGTGACCAACGTGACAGACAAAACTGTCAATCTGGAGTGGAAGCACGAGAACCTCGTCAACGAGTACCTCGTCACCTACGTCCCCACCAGCAGCGGGGGCTTGGACATGCAGTTCACCGTGCCAGGAAACCACACAGCTGCCACCATCCACGAGCTGGAGCCAGGGGTGGAGTACTTCATCCGTGTCTTTGCAATCCTGAAAAACAAGAAGAGTATTCCAGTCAGCGCCAGGGTAGCCACATGTGAGTTTAATGTTCCCTGTATTCATCCTTTTGTGTATTCCATTTGCATCTCGCTTTTGGGGTGTTGCTTATTTCATATTTTCTGTTTTCACTTTGTATGTGTTGGCTTGCATCCCTTTCTTGGAGGTATTTTTTCTGAATTTTTATTTTCAGTTCAGATGTATTGATTTACATTCCGTTTTTGGGATATCATTTCTTTTGTATTCTCTACTTCCAATTCAAATGTTGGCCTGGAAAAAACAGCTTTCTGTACTTCCATTTTCTACTTTTTTCCAATATCAGGGATTGTGTTAGAAGCACAATTCACAAGCGCTTCTGCTCTCAATGTTTCCCAACATGGGGCCTTTGTGAATTAAGAACCTTGGCTCCTTTACAAAAATGCACATTTCTTTATTATAATGTGCATTTTTTTACTGTAATGTTCATTTAAAAAACTCTGGTAATTCTTCCTGAGAAAAAAATTAAAAATGTAACAGCATATAAAAGAGCAATATGAAATCACTTAAATTCAAATTATTTTGGCTAAAATAGAGGTTACATTTGTTTTGCATCTTTGCTGTGATTTACTACATCTTACCTTTTATCTGCCTGTCTGTACATCTGTCGTTCATCTTTTTGTTTTGTGCACATCACTGTCATATCTAAACATCCCAATATCAAAAGGTGCTCTTTGATTTCTGTCACTGAGCTCATTTCTGGAGAGCTGGGGCAGGATTCAGCTCTCCTGACTTCCAAAGTTAACACCAGGCTTCTTTCAAGAGGGCACAAAAAAAGAGATTTTGAGGGTAAAATTCTTTTATTCTATGGTGACATTTAACCAGTTCAGGAAAGTCTCTCCAAAGCCACAATAACAGGATCTGAGAAGAGCTTAACCACCTCATCTGCAGATCCCCACCTGGCAGATATTTCTAGAAGTGGAAAGATGTCCCATCCCAGTGCCCTATTTATGGGAATTTGACACTAATGTGAGAATATCCCTTTCTTCTGCCACAGATCTGCCTGCTCCAGAAGGTCTGAGGTTCAAATCTGTTCGGGAAACGTCTGTCCAGGTGGAGTGGGACCCTCTGAACTTTTCTTTTGATGGCTGGGAGCTGGTCTTCCATAATATGGTGAGTAAGCAGTTTCACGTATAGAATGAAAAATCCTGTATTTTTATGTTTTTACTCAATGATTATCCCATGTGTTCCAGAAAAAGGATGATAATGGTGACATAACCAGCAGCTTGAAAAGGCCAGAGACATCCTACATGCAGCCAGGTTTGGCCCCTGGGCAGCAGTACAATGTGTCCATCCATATCGTGAAGAACAACACCAGAGGACCAGGCCTATCCAAAGTCATCACCACAAGTAAGCACAACGTGTGTTTGGTCTGGGTTTAGTTGGCCACCAACAAAACATCTGCTGTTTGGGGGTTTGTAAGCAAAGAGAAATTCAAGCTCTACACTGTGAGTTAATAGCAGGGGAAGGAGATAGTGGAGATGCTAAAGAATACATGAGGAAAAAATAATTCCTCTCCACATAACCTGTTTGAAGCAGAAGGGAAATTTATGTCCAGCTTAGCATGCACTTTTATTCCTTTTTCAAGATGTACATCAGCAGGAACTAGAATTCCTTGCTAGAATTTGTTTCATCCTGGTGATATTTGCATGAAAAGCGTGTGAAGGTGAGGAAGCTCTCAGGGCTCTTGCTTGTCTTTCTTTTGGCATCTTCTGGTTTGAAGGAGGTTTGATGGATTTGCTTCTGATGGATTGATTCCATCTGGAGTCCAAAACTACAGGAACCAAAGGAAGAGCATAAATGAGGATACTAATTTAAACTTTGTTTTGAATCATCAATTAAAAGCATAAGAATATGGGTGCTTTTCATGGCAAGATTTATTTTTAAAGCCCCCTTTCCTTTCTCTTTTGCTTGGTAACAGAGCTTGATGCCCCCAGCCAGGTGGAGGCCAGAGATGTCACTGACACCACAGCTCTCATCACATGGTCCAAACCCTTGGCTGAAGTTGAAGGTGTAGAGCTCACTTATGGCCCCAAGGACATTCCAGGGGACAGGACAACCATTGATCTCTCTGAAGATGAGAACCAATACTCCATTGGCAACCTGAGGCCGCACACAGAGTACGAGGTGACGCTGGTGTCTCGTCGAGGGGACATGGAGAGCGACCCTGTGAAGGAAGTCTTTGTCACAGGTGAGGGGCTGGGAAGGTGCCACAGGGACCACCCATCCTCCTGTGCTGTTTGTGTCTTGTTGCTGGAGTTGGCAGATACTGATAAACACAAAACCAGCCCAGTTTTAAAGGTACAAGGAAGTAGAGAACAATTTCCTGTGCCTTTTATGCCTTGTTGGCTCACCAAAATATTTAGACCCTCCCACAAGAATCTAAATGTATTTTTAAAATGGGAACTAGGTTATTGTGTCTTTTACCCTAAATCCCTATTTCAAAAAGCAAATTCCTCTAAATCATTTGTCTATTTGATGAGCTAAATGTCTTCCGTAGTTCCTGTTCCATCTTATTTCTCTTTCCTAATTAGTTTAGAAGCAGAGAACTGGGGTTTTTTTCTTCTTAATTTCTTCAAATATTTCCTGCCATCCTTTCATAAATTTACTGTGTTCCTCAGTGATTCTGGGAATGTTTTTGGAAAGTGTGAGTCCTTTAGCAGGATATCAAGGCTTGATGCATTAGGAGAGCTGTGAATTACATCCCTTTTCATCCTTAAATACAGTTGTTATTTTGGAGCAGGATTTGAGGTGTGAAAAATGAAAGCTCATTGTATTTCTCCATAATCACCTTTTTTTTTGAGACTTAGAGTTCCTTCCCACCGTGAATGCAAGATGTTACTGAACAGAAATTCTAGAGATGACCAGTTCTATTCTCTTTTTTACTTTTGAAAGCTGAGATATTTGTAAAGGAAAACTATTCTCATCCAAGTATGTTTTCCACAAACCCGTTTTATAATAAAACTAATTATTCCAATGAAAATGCTAATTTTGTCTCAGGAGATAGAATTTAAAGTTCTTGAACTGAAGCTGGTGAACTCTGCTTTTCATGCTAGGAAACCTCTGGGTTTTGTAGTTAAGACACAACAGGATCATGTGAGAGGAAGCTTTACGGGTCATTTCACCTTCTAAAAAGCACTGTCACAAGAGACTGCTGTCAGAAGAGAAATATTCCTAATTATTTATTTATTGCTTGGATGATTCCAGACCTGGATGCTCCTAGGAACCTGAAGAGGGTGTCCCAGACTGACAGCAGCATCACCCTGGAGTGGAAGAACAGCCACGCCAACGTCGATAATTACCGAATCAAGTTCGCTCCCATCTCTGGTGGGGACCACGTGGAGATCACAGCGCCCAAGGGCAGCCAGGCCACAACCAGAGCTACACTCACAGGTAGGGGGATGGAGAGATTGTCTCTGGTATCACATTGTTTTTGTCACCCCAGGAATTTGCTTTTCGTCACCCACAGACATGGAGAAAAAATGTCCTTGTGGTCACCATACATTAGAGGTACAAACAAGTTTTGAGTGATCTCAAACACATTTTTTTGGGGCAAGAGGTAACAAATTTGAAATTACATGAGATATTAGGAAGGAATTGTTCCCTGTGAGGGTGGGCAGGCCCTGGCACAGGGTGCCCAGAGCAGCTGTGGCTGCCCCTGGATCTCTGGCAGTGCCCAAGGCCAGGCTGGACAGGGCTGGGAGCAGCCTGGGACAGTGGGAGGTGTCCCTGCCATGGCAGGGGGTGGAACAAGATGATATTTAATGTCCCTTCCAACTCAAACTATTCCACGATTCTATAAATTGAGAAGACCAAACTGAATTGAAAGCCATGTGAAATGGATTTACCAGCCAGCAGAAGATATGAAACCATTTCACTTCCACATGCATCCCTGAATCCAACTAATCAGTTCCCCTAATTCTAAGCAGTTCTGTGGAAGTGGATTCACATCCCGAGCTCAAGAGGCATTTTCATGTGCTAGGGGTGGGATTCCCTGGTGCCAGTATGCAGCTTGTCAGCTGGAGGGTCAACAGAAACCTCAATTGTCTGCATAGAGGAAAGCAGATCTCTCACTCTGCATCCATTCAGCCTTCCTTACTCCAATAAATGCCTGCAGGTATATTCCATGGACAGGAACTCATGTTTTTTCTCCTCATCTCACAGGTTTGAGGCCTGGAACTGAATATGGCATTGGAGTGACAGCAGTGAGGAATGACAGGGAAAGTGCTCCTGCTACCATCAACGCTGGCACTGGTGAGTGCCCTGGTCCCATTACAGCTCTGGAGGAGGCACCTGTAGTGGAGCCACTCTTCCATTTCTAAGAGATGCTGGAAGATATATTTTAGAAAGTTCTTGAGTTCATTGTGATACTTTTTCCCTCAAGGAAAACAAAAAAATCCAACAAAGGTCATGACCTCTGAATCTCATTTCTTTTTCCTGTTCCTCTTAATGTTCTGTGAGTTTCATCTCCAGGTGAGCTCCTTAATGATAATTATACCTGCACTGATCACTCTGGCCAAGGCCCAAGGGTCAGAGCAGACCCTACAGCTTGGCAGAAGGGGCCCAAAGAGGAGTTTGTAGGGTTTAAAATGCAGCACAGTATGGTAATGTAATGATTCTTATAGGCTGCATGTAAATGCTATAGGATTTGTATCTTGTACTAGATTGGCTAGTGAGAATCAGAATATTCAACACAGAAGAAGATTTATTGTATTGTAACGAGAACCTCACTCTCTTACCCTCTCATCCTCTCTCCCCCTCTCTTCTCTCAGGCCTGCTCTGAGCTGTGTTTGGCAGCTCCCAGCAGGGCCCTGCACCCAGGCCCTTTGCAATAAACCCCAAGTTCCAGACCTGGCTCCAGATATCTCTCATCTCCATCCCAACCATCCTACCCACTGACACTCCAACAGATATTCCACTACAGATGCCTGAAAAACTCTCTCAGGTCACTTCAGAGACACCTCAACTTTGCTTGTTTTTCACTTGCAGACCTTGATAACCCCAAGGACCTGGAAGTCAGTGAGCCCACTGAGACCACCCTGTCCCTGCGCTGGAGAAGGCCCGTGGCCAAGTTTGACCACTACCGCCTGGTTTACACCAGTCCCTCGGGGAAGAAGGGCGAGGTGGAGATCCCAGTGGACAGCAGCTCCTTCCTGCTGCGGGGGCTGGAGCCAGGCACTGAGTACACCATCAGCCTGCAGGCAGAGAAGGGACGGCACAAGAGCAAACCCACCACTGTCAAGGGCTCCACGGGTGAGTAACGGCCTCTGGTGGTCACTAGCCCAAGGAGAACTTCACCTGATTTCCTAATCCATATCTAGGGAACTTCTTTCAGAGCTCTGCCAGCATGAGACAGTGAAGGATAGACGGGTTTACCAGCCAGCAGAAGATATGAAACCATTTCACATCCCTGAATCCAACAAATCGGTTCCCCTAATTCCAAGCGGTCCTGTGGAAGTGGCTTCGCATCCCAAGCTCAAGAGGGATTTTCATGTGCTGGGGGTGGGATTTACTGGTGCTAAATCCATCTCTGTGTGTCCCTCCCTGCTGTTCCTCCCTGTGTCCCTCCCTGCTGCTCCCTCACCTCCATGTTCCCAATGATTTCTTGCTCATCCTTTGAGAGGCCTCACAAGGAGCTCATCCACCAGTCCTGCGTGGGTGCAGAACTCATTCTTTGTTTTAGGCTATTTTTGTACATCATGTCTTCTAACATGTTTTGCATTCTACAGCCAAAAACCCAAGAGGAAGAGCAAGCAGAATGTGTTTAACTTTGTTTGTTCCTGCCTAATTTATTCTCTTCACAGCAGGTCATCATCCCTCAGCAGGGCCAGTGGGTCTCTGATGTTGCCCTATTTCAGTTTTCTCATCCAAAACTGGAAAAGGTTTCTGCCCCAATCTGGTCCAAGCCACCATTTCTTTTGGGTATTGTGATTCATATTTGTCTGTTTCTGCCATCTCCATTTGTGCAAACCACTCCCACTGACCACTATCAGATGATTTACTGAACAAGGTTTTATCCTTTGTGAAACATTTTGAGCCAAGTTTTGTTACATAGACAATTATATCTCAGTATAGAACACAAATAAGTCCTGAATCTTTCAGTTTCTCAGCCTAAATCCTGTGAGGCAAAGCCTCAAACTGCTCTAAGGAAGCAGAGATGGTGAAATCACAATCAGCTGGGCTACAGCTATTGTCCTTAGCAGACACCAAGGTGTTTATGCTTTTCTCCCCAGTGACCATCTGTGAGGTAAGCACATGTCAGACAGTGTGGATTTTACAAATTAATAATTACACAGCTTAACTTAATAATTTACACAGATCAAAGCTGGGTTCATATTCCCTGGCAGTGCTCACACCAGCACAACCTCTGAATGCTTTATAGAGACAGCAATCCATCAGAGAGCTACATGGTCTGGAAACCATCAGTCCTGAATGAGTTATTTGGTGCCTAAATCAGGCCTATATCCAGTGCAGGGAAAAATTAAGAAGCTTTGAGGCACATACAGAAAAAAGGAAGATGTAGGTTTGTGTGGCAGGAGTGAGCAGAGTTCAATTTTCCAACTTTCTCTGTTGGAAGACTGAGAGGTTTGAAGGAAGTCTGCAGGGATGGTGAAGAGGCAGAGGCAATGTGCTGTGGAATCTCACAGCCTGGTCTTTGCAGCACCAGCTTCCAAAGCTTCACAAGGTGGCTTCTTTTTCCTGGTTCACCTTTTATTTCTTTTTTTCTTTAGAAATACCTTCGTCTGGCTGCTGTATTTGTTTTATGTCTTTACTCAGAGCAGCAGTAAACAGAGAGGGCTCTGCAGTGGGCTCCAGGGAGGAGCAGTTGACATAACCTGGCTCTGTGACCTTTCTGCTGAGCAGGAATGGACAAATCCAAACACAGAGCAGAGGGAGCAGAAATTCTCTGGAAGATAAGTGGTCTCTTCAGTTTGCTTTTCCATCTACCCTCAGGACACTCCTCTTTATCCATGTTCCAGCACTTGGGAGGTCCCAAGTCCTCAGGCTGAAGCCAAACAATTTTGTTTTGCCCTCTCTTGTGGAGGCAAGCTGAAACATTCAGAACTCGTGAACCTCTAGCAAAGGACACATCACAAAATACATAATGCAGGATGGAAGGCACTGCTGCTTCTGGCCCTCCACAGGGATGAAGTGCAGCTCAAGTGACAAAGTCTTTGTTAACTGATATCCCTGATCCTGCACTCAAGGGATGGCAAAGATTACAGAGTGAAGTTTGCTAAACTTTGCTGAAAAGGAAAGACTGAATACTTCACATCTCCATTTGCTTGCTTGTCTCTTGTAGCTTCATGTCGTGTAACCCTCATGCAAGCATAGAGTCCTGACCCAGAGGAACTCCCTGAAATGAGTTTTATTTTTGCTCCAGAGGCATCAGGAATGCGGGAGAATTCCATGAGGGACCTTGTGGTCCTGAGGGGAACAGACCACACAGCTTCAGTGTGTGAATACAGGAACCCACAGCAGTTCTGTGCTGGAGTAATGGAAGTTCACAGCAGAGCCCCTGGGAGCTGGGATTGACAGCCTCCAAACCAACACTTCCCATAAGCCAAGGTGTGTGAATGGGCTGGAGGGCAGCACTCTGCTCCTCTGGCAGCTGAGTTACCACAGGAAACTCCTTTCTGTTATTAGTGAAGGTGTCAGGAGGGTCTCACCTGCCTCTGCACCAAGGTTTGACTCAGAAATTAAAGAAAAGGAGACATTTTAGTGCTTGGAGGGACCTTGCCTTGAGCATGTCCCAGCAGATGAGCAGCTCATCTGCAGGGTGAGCACGTCCCCAGCACTCAGACTGCAGCTTTGAGCTTTGTTCTGTCCTGCTCTGCCCCTGGAGCCCTGCCTGCAGAGCACAATGTGGGGCCTGGAGCAGGAGGGATGCCAATACATCAGGCAATACATGAGAGGCCTGGGGAGATAAATGAGTGAGAAACCAAGAGCCAAGCTCAAATTCCTCTGCTGAAGGACCCAGATTGTGCAGCAACTGTTGATGGATCATGGATGTGATACTGTCCTGCCTCTGGGAGGGAGCTTGAACAGCAGAGCATGGCTTGGAGAAGTGACTTTTCCATTCTGCTGAATGTTTTCCACAAGATTTATGCTGTTTACCAAAGGCCCTTGTCCATGGTGTGCGTCAGCCCCTCTTCCTCTCCTGGCTTCTCCAAGGCTCAGATTGCACCACCCTTTTTTATACAAACTCAAAGAAACATCAGCAAGAATGATTAGGTGAGCCAGCTCCATGGGAAAGTGCAGTGCTGAGCACTGGGAAACTAAATTTGCCAGGGAAGATTGTCCAGTTTGTTCAGCTGCCTCCTCCTCTGAGAGCACCTGGAGCCTGAGTTCAGTTTTTAGAGGTAGCTACTCCATTTCTGGAGCATTTCTGGTTTGTGATGTGCTGCAGTGGTTTCTTCATGAAATTCAGAGGTGCACAGACACTGCAAGCCCAGTTTAATCAGCTGATTAAGAGAGGGGAAAGTGTTTCAGCCAAAGGGGGCTGAAAAGAAAACCTTGCCAGGTCATCAAGAGATTGGGAAAGTGGCTGAGAGCTCCTCTTGGAGAATAATTTAAAATCCCAGATTTAGGAGCAAGAAATAATCCAGAATACTACTTGCTCTATCCCAAGGGGTTGGGGAAATGTCACAAGTATCCTTTTTAGTAAAACCACCAGAGAAACATTCCAGTGGAATTCCTCAAAAGGCCAACACCACTCCACAGACAGATTCAGGCCAGGCTCACCCTGGAGATTTTACCAGGAGATATTGAGCTATTTCCTCAGCTGACAGTAAGAAGTGTTCCAGCCTGGGAAGGAGTGTATGGTTTTTATCCATCCAGTTTCCCTTTTCAGATGCTATCTCTGTTCATTCATCTCACCACTGTGAATCATTCTCTGGCTGTTACCCACCCACCTAAAGCTCCCAGAGCTCTCTGTTTTTTCTGCCCATCTCTTGTTAAATCAAGTGTTTGAGCACACTGTTCTTGTTATTCTACAGTTTGATTGTTTTCCAGATTTTCCATTATCTATTACAGCATTCTGCCTGCTAAACAAAGAACACTGATATTTCTATGGTATCAGAGTATTTTCCATGCATTCATATCATTTTCATTTGTCCATCTCCTGCTTGTTTGTACACAAAGGCACATATTCCCCTGATACACATGAATTATGTGGGATATATGAGTGTTAATATCTGTGGTAGAGGAAAACCATTCTTTCTCACCCACAAATTCATTTGTGGAGTCATTAAGTCCAAGGTAATATTCAGAATTACATTCCCCATGTTCCATGGGACAACCTGTTCATGGCAACCTCCATGTAGCTGCCAAAGCTGGCACAATAAAATAAACCCACTGTGAATCCAGCAAATTTCTGGATTCAAATCTCACACAGGAGGTTGGTCCCTCAGGTTTTTTATAATATACTTGAACTGCTGCTGCATTTTCCATCTAGATTGAAGTCACCAAATCCTTGTGTGGCTGTGCTAGAACAGGCAGGGATGCTGGAGAAATGTGGGGTGGTCAGGGAAAACAAGGGGCCACTTTTGACTGATCACAGGGTTCTCTCACATACCCTCAGTACATCAGGAGTGTAATGCCACCCTAATTTTATGTTGCCTCTTGCATTTTTGAAGGTTTTATCTTCAGTTTCCAGCTCAGGATTCAGTTTCCCAGGGGGAGCTGTCCCTGTGGGATGCACTGCTGCCCTCTCCTCCCCACTGGGCTGCCCACTCCTGTCTTCAGCAGAAACCCTTCCAGCAAAGCCCAGCAAAGCCCAGCTTTGGTTTGCAAAGGCAGGAGTCTGCTAAGGAAGGCAGGAGCCTCCCCTGAAATGGAGAATGTAAACCCTCCCCACCCCTCCCAATTGCTATAAATTTGAAATTAAGGGGCTCTCAGGCAAAAATATGGGAGCAGGAAATAACAGTTCTTTAATAGGGAAGAAAATAATAAAAGGATAAAATAAACAATGCAGTACACTAGAACAACACTGACAGAGTCAGAACCCAGCCTGACACCCTGTGGGTCAGGGTGTTGGTGGCAGTCCCATTGGAATTGTGGCTGCAGCCCTCCTGCAGTGTCAGGGCTGGTTCTGTTGGAGCAGGGATCTGTAGAGAAGGATGGATTCTTCCTCTGAAGATCCAGTGGAAGGAGAGGCAGCTGATGTTCCTCTGGGGAATCCAGTGGAGAAGCCGTGCTGGTGTCTCAAAACCTCTGGATTATATCTGGGTAGCAATGCTTGGCTCCTCCCT